AAAAAAAAAAAAAAAAAAAAAAAAAAAAAAAAAGCAGGCCAAGATTTCGGAAATCGCGTATGACATACTTTGAAAATTGCTGTATCTTCCCTGTGTCCGTTGCTCTGTGATCTTTGCTGCTTTGAATGCTTCCAAAAATAACTTGAAAGAGATGCGTAGCTTGATTATTGCCAACACAAGTAGTTATTGATTTAAATGACTGCTTGGAAAGAAAGGACGATAGAGAAACCATGCTCTGCTGTCCACATGTTTAGACCTTCTGCCTTATTTTGCTCGAGTTCATGGGGAATGACATGTATCGTGGCATGGCAACAAAGAAAATCCTCTGCCTGCTTTAAAGTTATTGGGCACTTTTACATCATTAAAAAAAAAAGCAATTAAAAAGACATAAACCTTAGACTATGAATATCTTTTCCCAACTAAACCAGCTCATAGCCTACAAAACATCCCAAAAGCAGCTCCTAAAGCTTTGGTTGACCAGATGCCCTTGACACAACGTGGAGCAGCCTTGGGGCCGTTCTGAATTGCTGGGGCTCTGCTGAAGATTCTGTTAAGTTGCCGGGGAAAACAGTAGCTGGGTTGTTACTCGAGCTGCTTTTCCTGTTCCCCAGCGCCGTCCCGCAGGATACGTTGCAGGAGACTGATTGTGAAATGCCCTCGCTCCCTTGTCTTAGAGCTCATCCCATGTCCAACAAGGAGAGCTGTCTCAGCCAGAAACACCCCATACAGCTGTCAAGTTTGATACTGTGGCTGTTTTCCAGAGGTGATGTAGCTAGTTCCCTGGTTCTGACCATTTCCTTTTTTAGACTTTAACCAGATGTTGGGTAGAAAAATAGGTTTCTCGTGAGCAGTTGCAATTTGTTTTTCTTTTTGTTTTGGTGTGGGGTGGGTTTTTTTTTGTTTGATTAGGTTTTTTTGGTTTTTAAAGGGGATTTTTGTTCTCTTTTTGCGTCTCGGTCTTTACCATCTTTTTTATGCTACTGGGCTGGCATAACAGGGTGGGAGGATCTTTTGCTATAAGTTTAAGATGGGTGTATAAAATATATTTATGATGTTAGCATTTACCCAAACTTATTTCACGCATCCAACACGAAACTTTCAAATACGAACTTGTGCTAACTGAGAGTTAGCTTTATGAATGTGTAGATTCTCAAAAAACTCAAAAACTCATTTGCTTTAGGGAGAATTTGAGACACGATCACTGAGTATTTCTCTGATTTGTGTCAGAGAAAAACACAGTACAGAATAAATACATATTTTCCAGGAGTAATATATTGCACCTGTGACGAAAGGCTGCATTTAATTTGCTGTGAATTTACAGAAGTTAGCGTTTTAAGCAGCAGTATGTGTTCTATACTCTGTCAACCTGTACAAATCACTTAGAAAATGAAGGTATTTGAGAGCAAGGAAGAACCAGTTACAACGTGATCGCTATTTTAGTTAGTACAACTACCACTCCGATTTACAGCAAAGCTGAATACAGCGAATTAACCTGGAAGTACCAATGGATTTTTGAGCCTAATTGCTAAATGTCTTTTTGCACAGAAATACCTGAAGAGCATTAGGGAGCAGCTACTGCCTGGATTTCCCACTGCTGTGGAACAGTCTGTTGGCTCTAAGGTTTGCTCACCTTTTACCCCACCAGCAAGTCAGTGGGAACTCTGCTTAAAAGATGCTGCCATGATGTGACCCCGTGACAGCTGCCACGTCTGTTCCAGCCCTTCCTGGCCGAGCTGTGATGTGTTAGACAAGACCTGTATAACAAGAGTAAGCTGTTTGGAACGAGCCCTCTTGACCTTATCATAGCCAGTATGGACCAAATGTGAAACAGGACTGCATCTGCCTTTCTACCTCTGGGTAACGTGACTTTCCGTGTGTACATATGCACGCAAATAGCACTTTAGATACATCAGGACATATATACAGGAATATATTTATAAAGCTTGGCAGCTAATCCAGCTTTCTTCCCACGAGAAGCATTTGGAAATCTCTCCGGACTGGGGTTTACTGTTCACCCAGCCAAAAGAAGTTGGCACGTGCTGCAGGTTGCTCAGCAGTGGCTAAAGCGGAGCAGTGCTGAAGCGATACACAGGGACGTGAGTGTACTGATATATGCCCAGGATGCTCTTTGCTTTCAGCAAGATTTAAAAATTAGCTGGAAATCTGATATATAAAAAATATTTTAAAGATTGTCTATGAAAACATTTCCACGGGATTGGCTCTAACCATCCACTGCTACAAAATGCAATGGGAGGAGGCTAAAGCTCTATATAATATAAATAATAAAATGGGTAGATATTTTTCCTGTTTCTCCACCTGTGCTGTGAGCCCGCTAGGTGCAGCCAGATGCTGACCACAGGCTGGAGAGCTGATGTATCATCAACAGCACAAACATAACATGGTGTTACAGTTCTGGACTGCAACCAGCTAAGTGAAATCACATCCATTAGCCCAAAGCTGCTTCAGCCTTGTCCAGCAAACACCTATCACCAGCTAATTTTTCTTGCTGCTGTAAGGGGGTAGAGAAGTTGGGCCTGGAAGTCTAAAAAGCCTTTGGGCTGGGGTGTGACCCGTGTGTGTCAGTGTTGCAGGCAGAGCAGAAGTTAGTTAAGCCTATCTGAAAGCTTCACAACATCACTCTTTGGTGTGGATTTGGAGGTGAAGGGGAAATAAATCCATCTTGGGCTTCCTCCATTGCTTAACCTGACCAAGTACCAGTACAGCCATCAGGAGATCTACTTTGCAGATAGTTACAGAAATACTCCCTTCTCCCAGTATGACTCCAGTAATACGTTTAAAATTAAAATTTGTGCTATAGATAGTAGCTGGATCCTAGAAGTTGAGCAGAGAGTTGGCAGCCAGAACATAAGTTTTGCCTGTGCATCAGGCTTGGTGGCTAGCCTGAGCCTTTCTCAGTTAAACTGGCTATCGTGCCATAGCTCACAGAGGTGTTGCAGGGATTAGAGTCTGTTTGTGCAGGACTTCACTGATGAACAGTTTTCACCATCATACTCTGTTCTGCATGAAATACTTTGTTGACTATCTAGTAGCTTGGATGACATTTATGTATAAATACTAAAGGATTTCTATGCTGCAAACTGCATGCAAGCAGGGCGAGTCTGCTGTTGGAAACCTGGACTCACAGCACTCCTGCACCTGCCCGGCTTGCCTGTGTATGTGGCATACACCTGCGACACGCAAAGCTGCCCTTAAAAAAAATATTGTTATTTATTTAACATTGACACGATATATTTTGGAGAAATGTGGACAGTTCAAGGAGGTGTGGGTACAGAAAGTATAACATACCTCAGGCATAAGGAATGAACTTCAGGGATCTGTTGTGTGTTTGTCATAGGGCATCCTTCACTGACAAAAAATCCCAGCAGTCTAAAATTAGATCCATTGACAGCCTCAATTCATTTGTGGTGGGGTTTTTTTTAATGTTTTAGGTTTTTCCCACCGCTGTTCAAAGCTATGGGTTTATTTGTATTTTAACTATATATTAAGTATATGGGACAAACCTGAATGCATCCAGGGCTAATCATATTTACACTTGTAAATAACAATAATTGCTTCATATCTATGTGCAGGATGCTATGTGTGAGATTAGATATGAGCCCAAACCAGTAATCAGTTCCATAACAGCTTTTAATAAACAGACATTTGAATAAAACAGTTTTTAGAAAAGTACAGAATAAAAGCAGAAATTATCTCTTCCTTATTAACCAGTGAGATAAATCCCAATATGTTTTAAATTGTTTAAACAGTTACATGGAAAATATCACAGTTAAAGCACAGTACTGCAGAATACAGGTATTAACCTTTCCTCATCTTTTCCCCCTTTTATAGCAAAGGCAAAAAAATACTTTCATGTTTCCAAAATTAATTATTAAAGGAGGCATTGAGAAATCAAACTACCGCTAAACCCCAGTTTTGTTATGCTATGTCTTAATGTCAAAACTTTGAGAAAACCTTTTCATTACTTACTAAAGAGGAATGGAACCACACTAGGTCATGGCCAAATCCTAATTTAGTTTTCTTTGATTATTCAGAGATATCTGTTGATTGCAAATGATGAGTAGAAGCTATGGAAGTGTTTGCAAGCTTGTGTTAGGGTTTCACTTATAGGTTGGTTTTTTTTTTTGCATGTCAACAAATTTAAGTCTATGGTTATTTAATTCCGTAGCTGTAGTTCTACTGTTTTAGCCTGCTAGGAGGAGACTGGGATTTATGTGACTTACAAGGAATAGTTCGAAAACAAACAGTTGAACAGAACATATCCAAGGGTGGAGGTGTGGTTATTTTGTCAGGCTTGGGGCACAGGTGAGAGGGCGTCCTGTTAACTCTGCAGCTGTAAGCACAGTGAAAAATAAACTCATCGAACATGTTGCTGGGTATAAAAACAAGTATTTTAATATTCTTTCTCTTTCAATTTGGCATCTGAATATAGGAAAAAAACCCCACTACTTTGGCTGCAGTAATTTTTACATACCATAATCTCTATTCAGAACGGAACCCAGAGGCATCCATCCTGCAGACCACGTCTATCGGAGGTGTGCTCTTGGGTTTGGTGTCACAAAAATGGACCTGAGTTCAGTCACCACTTGTCTGGTGTGGAGTCCATGACCACCTCTTGTGCTTTGTGGTTTCTAGCCACCAAGAAAGCATCATCATTCCTTCTCCTGGCTTTACTCAAAAGTCTGTCTGCTCTGCAGATCTTAATTACATCTGTGCACAGCAGCTGATGAGATTTCTGACCTTATCTGCAACCTCTACAGGGAGATCTATTTCTCTTCCTAATAGAGAGGAAAATTAATATGATGCATTGTCTGGCAGCATTACTGTTTCTGAATTTAGAAACGTAGGAAAAAAACATTTGTGGCTGTGATAATCCTCACACGTACAGCAGAACATACAGAATACAGCATCTGTTGAATGAGAGCTTTCATTAAAGTGGAGTTCTACCTAGAAAGGTGTGGCTTTAAAAATAACTCCACAGCAATGGTTGTTTGTTTTGGTAATGAATTTTAGTTATGATTTATGCAATAACGAATGCCTCTCAGAAAACAGAGGGAGGTGCTGTTTATAACAAACCTTCAGTAATGCTTTAATGTCTGTTTTGATGCTGCCTTACGAGCTTTCTAGGGAGGGCAGGTGTATTTGTAGAGGCAAAAGAAGGCATTGTGAATCCCCAGTTAGCCCAGTCAAGACATTTGGCACACTCATTTTAAATTTAGAGATTAAATTTACAGCAATGCATTTTATACATTCAAAGACCAGGGCACAGATAAACCTCAAATTGTTATGAACAACAGGTTTTTTAGCTTATAGAACTCAAAAATATATTTTTGGTGTTAGATTCTGGAAAGAAAACACAAACTTTTAATAATTCGTTGGTGTTGAGGTTAGGCAATCTAAGTTTTGCTCATTCTGGTTTTAAGAACGCTCAGTCCCTGTTCAGGACCCTCTTCCTGAGGAGCCGGAGCCTCGACATGACCACATCCCAGTCTGCATAGGCACCTTCCAGGTGACGAGTCACTTCTGATCCCGACTGGTAGCTTTGGCGACCGTGAAGCACGCGCCAGTTATCAAACGTCACTATGTCTCCTATAAAGAGATTGCACAAAGTTTAATAACTGATAAGTTACAGTTGATTCCTTCAAACAGAAAACATGAAGGTAGATTTATATCAACAGTCAGGGAGCAATAATTTCAAGTAGCTCGGCTGGAGATACACAGCAATGACACAGTAATTTTAATTCATTCTCAAGCAGAGAGGGCAGGTCCCTTTTGACCTCTGCTTCTTTCTTTGTATAACCAGGAGTTAAAAAGTGGAGTGGTAGGGGAGCCCACACCAAGAAAAGCAGGCCTTGAGGGGAAAGGCCACTACAGCAAAGGGTGAAAGCCACTAGGATGATTTTTATTTGATCAGTCGGTACTATTTGTACCATAAACATTCTGCATTACTATCCCTGTTAAGAGAATTTATGAGAACAAAAGTCATTGAAAGATAGGAAATCACATAATAAAAGCTAGCATGCCATTTATTTTTTTCTCCCTTGTGTGCCACCATTATGATAAATCTCTAATTAAATAACCTTGTAGTATTACTTTCCTCCTCCCTCTCCCATCTAGCCACCATTTTGGTGCATTAAATGATGGGATGGATGGTAATAATGTAATGGGAGGTACTTCGTTTTACCACCTATTATGTGATCTTATAAATTATTTTATTGCATGTTCCCAATAAAGAGAGATTTATTTCCTCATAGACGTTTTAAAGACACTAACTTCACTTTGATGAAGCAGTCAGATACCTTAATGAATTTACTTTTGTAACATCTCTTGAGAGATGACGGACTATGCATATCTTTATTTTATAGCTAGAGAATGGAAGAACAGAGACTAGGGCCAAACTAGTTAAACATATGCATGGACTAGCTTTTAAAGAGTAAAGGGCATTTTTGCAGCATGTTTTATATTCAAAACACAGACCTGTACGACTCTAGCTGAAGTTTAGAGCACTTAGTGCTTCTGCAAATCTGCCTCCAGAGGTCTTGCATAGGCCACCCAGGAAAAAGCAGCACAGCAGCAGTGGCCCTTGGTAATTCATCCAGCATTCTGCTGGCATTTGGTGTCTGAGCAGAGATAACTGAATTCCCCACGGTGCTGCTCAGCTTCCTTCAGCTTTATGCACATTATGCATCTGTATCACCTTCTAGATGTTCTGCAACTCCTGCAGATGTTGGGAAGGTGCCCCATTAATATTGGTATGTAGCCCAGAGCATCAAATGAAGCAGAGGGAAAAACGTGTGTGATCCTGTATCAGTGAGGGTGAAGAGACACTGAACTGGCATGGCACAGCAGTCTTACACTCAAGTGTCTATCTCAACTGTAGTGCTATTGATATGACAAGCTACAGATTCCTCTATGGCATGGGGGTTTGATGTAATATATAGAGATACTTTGGACTAATCCATAGATAGACTCTATTTCCCCTCCTTTTTTTTTTTTTTTCTTTATAGTATAACAATGGCAAAAGAAATCCATGCAATATAAAATAAAATAGGTGATAGAAGGACTGAAATTTCTTTTCAGTACCAGTGCTAACAATGTTCAAGTGTTTTGACTGTTAGGAAAAATGTGAAAAATATTTGCAAGGAGGAACAACTTACTGACCTGGTTTAAGCTTGTAAGCAAACTTGTGTTCTGCGCTGTTTAATAAATCATTAAATTCCTTTAGAGCTGCGTAAAACGGCCTCACTTTTTCAGCTGGTATGTCAAAAACTGTGTCTCTTGTTGCATTATTATAATTGATGCGAACTGCTTGGCCTCTGGAATCCACACTTGAAACAGAGAAGGAAAGGAGATGGAATGTATTATCTTGTTACTGAAATATTTTAAGATGGTTAAAGAGCAACTGAACTCTCCTGCTGGAATGTCAGTATGTTTCCATAGTGGAATTCAGATTGTTATTGGGTTGGATTTTGATAATTAAGCCTAACTAGGGAAAGGGAAAAACAGGAGAAAGTGTAGATAATTTACTTGCTCAAAAATCTATATTCTATGTTCTAATTGTAGAATCATAAATTTCTTAAATTCAAAAGAGACTGTGAACACTTGCATTTGATCTTTTTATAGTATATAGTTCTTAATCTATATGACCTTTCTTTGCCACAATACAGACGTACGTTGGCTGGAATTTAGTAACAGGTGCTGTTAACCTGGGTCTGTGCCTAGGAGTTGCTCTAATTACCACCACTTCTTGCAAGTGTGTGGCAAAACCAAGTAAGGAAAACTAGGCTGTGGTGGTACAAAGCACAGAACAAGTCACACGCTGGCAAAAAAACCCCAAACAACCCCCCCCAAAAAACCTCAGAGTAACTACAGACCGAGTTAAACCCGTGTTTCCCCACAAGGTGGCAGGAGAACCTTTTCCTACCATGTAATCCACTATACAACAGGATTTCATTATTCAGTGTTGTTGAAACTACTCACTCTATAATCCTTTGTTTACATTGCACAGCAAAATCACAGTAGTCCACCCCAATATCTGTATAGTCTACAGCAGTAGAGGACAGGATCTGATACGCCTGAGGATTTTGTTCCTTCAGCTTGTTTGATACGTGAAATCCATCCACAACTTCACTTTCGCCTCCTACAGCTGTTTGCTTTATACAGTGGAGAAACTGAACCTGGAATGAATTAACATCTCATTACAAAAAGAATTAGCTTGCACGTTTAGCAAGTTCAGTAGTATCAGTTCCCTCATATCTGTGTCTCTGGTGGTTTTTTGGGGTTGGTTTCTTATTCAGCGAAAGACTGAGCTCCCATTGCTGCAGCTTGACAGCATTCTGCCACCACTGTCACAAAGGCAGAAAATTAAAGTAGCATAAATGCATCCTGTTGGGGATACCTTCTAATGTCTGCAACTTGCGAGTCAGCGGCAAAGCCCTGGTCTCGCTTCTTTCCTTTGAGTTCCTCTTTGTGGCAGTCGATATAATTTTTAACGCGTTGCAGCCTTATCTCAACAAGGAGGATTAGCTTTCTTTTGCAGAAACAAAACCTGCTGTGAATTATCTCTCGCAGAGGGGAAAAGGTGGCTGTCATAGAAGGCAATCACCTGAGTGTCTCTATGATGAAGTAGGACTAAGACAGTTTCATTTTGCTTCACAGTGAAATTGCCAAGGTGTAAAATGGAGCAGAAAGCCTACACTGGGCTCTCAGTCGCACCGGTGTAAATCTGAGCCACTGACAGGGGCAGTAAAACTCCCCATGGCATTAGAAAGCCCAGCATCACAGGAGGTGTAACCCTTCATCTCGGCCAAACGACACAAAATACATCTGTCATACCAACAATAACAGCACTCACCTTTTCCTTCCGTGATGGTGAATTGTTTCTGAGACCACTAGGAGAAAAAACAAACCAACAAAAAAAACCCAGGAGGAGAAAGAGGAGCCGAGAATAGGGCTTGTCAGAATCTCCTCCCCAGCTGGACCCACAGCCCTTGATAATGGTGATGAGGGGGGAAACTGAAATTACGGACAGTGCAGAAGGGGGACCTGTTTGGGAAGGATGTAAGCTAGTTTGTTCATGTGATAAAGCAGCTCCCCACCCTCCTGCATGGTCCTTTTGGCCAACGAGCTGTGGGGAGGAGTCGGGGCTCCCACCGAAGGGGGGTACAAGGCAACAAGGTCTTTTCTTTCGTGGCCACAGCCAGCCTCGCACAGGGCAAGCACGGCGTGGCACTGCTGAGGAGGGCTGCAGTAATGTACTTCATGGTAAACGGTTCTGAAAAAGTTCTCAGGGAGAATTTAGTTCAAATGAGAATTTGGCTTCGCATTCTAGAGAGCTAATGTTTCTGCTAGATCTAATCATCTGCTGGTGGTTGTTTTTGTCAAACATCTCCTGGAAAAATAGAAAGCCTAAAACTATTTTTATGGGACAGTTCTGAAACTAATCATCATCCATTTAAAAATATGTATTCAAATATTTTTAATAAATATGTCTTAAGAATTCAGATACTGTGTAATAAATATAGAGAGAAAGCTGCACATTCAGGACAGTGTTAAAAAAGAATTCAATGTATTTTAATACTTTTATTTCTTACAAACATGTCTGAATGAAAAAGGTTATGCTCTTTTTCTAATGTTTCAGAGCAGAGTGTGAGCTTTGGCACAGACAAGACAGTGAGCTAATTCACATCTGCTCTCTATTAATGAAGCCCTATTACATTCTTACTCCACATTAATGAACAGTATCTAAATGATTTTAAATCACATTGGCTTTTTTGTTTAATTATAGAAACAGCTGATACAAAGTACTCCACTACATTAGAAGGGGAAGCTTTATAGATGCAAACTTTTCCAGGGTTATCTTTGTTCCTTTGTACTTGTTCCTACTACCTGCCAGTTCTCTGGCAAATTATATGTATTAGAATTTGATACGACAGGGGCTAGGTGAAAACATATTTTTGTATGGTTGTTGTCCATCTTTACTGAACTGAATTTTTTGTCTGTTATGAAAGGGCAAGTGTCTAACTTCATCAATTCATAGAAAATAAAACATAACATATTAATCATATTTATTCTAATACATTCCCTGCCTGAGGTGAACAGAGGAGTCCTAAAATTTCACGACTTGATTATAGCATTTAGACACCTCATATTTTTTTAATATAATGAAGGCAGTATCAAAAGCACATAGAGAACCTTAATGTTTTTTCATATGGTAATGTTGTCAATACTTTCTGAATTTCATTTAAAAATTATGGGATACATAATGGGCTTGTTATGCAGAACTTAGATCATAATGTATGTATTGTATACCCATGTATATAGATTGTTATATGCAGATTCATATATTATTTTTATATTGCTCTATTATGACAAAATTCAGAGTCAACAGACACCCTATTTCATTCAATAGGAACATTTCCCTTTCCCTTTTTGAGTTGTGAAAAAGTCAGTAGATTCATCTTACCCCAGGTGGATGCTGCAGAACAGGGTAATCAGTGTGAAAACATAGTTTCCCAGTTGTATAAGCCACATTGTTAGCATCTGCTTTGTCTTGCACTTGCCAAGTTGGTCTTTATAATGAAAGGGAGAAGAGAAAACATGTTAAAACAGCCAGCCAGAATGCCAGACAGTACACACTGAAATGGAAATCCCAGTACAAAAGAGTCGTTCCATCTTTGAACATGAAAATATTGTAAAATCATAAGAAAGTAATGATATAGCAGTGTCGCCCCACCCCAGCAACCAGACTTATTTCATCAAGTCCTAAATTCAAGCTAGAAATTTAAGTGTTCTGAGGGACCTCTGGCCCCAGGGTTGTATCTGATACCTCTCCCGTGGTGGTACTTTGCTGAATGCAAAGATTAGTCGAAGACACTAACCAAGAGGTATCTGCTAAGATAAATCATCTTATTACCGAGGCTTCAGAAATAAGAGAGTGGAAGTTGGCCCATTTCTTTTTTATTAACCTTCTACTTTTACCTGCCAGGTAGAGCACGTTATCAGTGAAATATGAAATTGTGAGAGGCTGTGTAACTCCCCCCCCAAATTGTATTTCAAGCTGTATGATCTTAGAAAATATAGAGTATCCTCTGCAGGGGAGGGGTCTTCCCTGTAACTTGAAGACTTGCTGCTAATGGAAAATGTCTTGATGAAAAACTGTGACTTCTTCCCTTTCTAGGATGCTCTTTCTCCGAACTACCCCCATTTATTTTGCTACATACTTTCTGTCCTGAAATTTGACACAATTCAGTAAGGAAGTTTACTGACAACTGCAGGGAAAACATAAAGTCTTAGTCATACGACAAAGACATGAATACACCGTGTTGCAGCACAATCAAAATCTGTTGTGAGTGACACACCATGCAGGAGAATTTAAGACCGAGCGCCACACGTTTTGCTTGTAGAGAGTTCACATGATTGAAGACAGTCCTCAGCGGATGCATGTTATAGATCCAGACATCTGTCTGGAAAAGTGTAAGTCACCATACGCTGTCCATGTAATCACAGGAGCATAAGTGATTTAAAAGAAAATATGAAACTCATTTTCCTTTATGAAACACTGTAGACCAAATATATTATGTTTCAGATGGTGTGTGTCTAGCATTGCTGTTAAGAATAGTTTAAAAAGATTACAGGCTAAAGAACGTGCAGACCAAAATGATTTATATTTAGTATGCAAACACTTTTGTTCTAGGAGTGGTATTTAGTATAGAAAATATGCAAAATGCTAAATCTAAAGTTCTGAAATTGCCAGGGGGAAAACCCCTTTGAATATTTGCAAATGTTTTTAACTGCCTGGGAAAAATAATTTTTATTGTTTGGTACAGCACATATTCATCAATGCATGACTTCAGTACTCAAGTATGATAATTTCAACCATGCTTCCGTACTTCTGAATTTTACAGCCAAAAAACAGCCCGTTATATCATCCTTGTCATTAGTGCTGAAGGTAGCTGTGTTCACAGTATCTTTGACTGAAAAGGCTCCAGTGTCACTTGATGGTTCTAAAACCATTTAATACATTTTAATTGTCGCATTTATACGCAATATATCCTATTGCTGGAACGGTAGTACTTTATAAAATCATCGTGAGGTTTTACAAAAGCAGTCAGTGCTTTTGTGCTGTTACACTTTGTGGGGGAAGCTGGTGCCCAGGAGCTTGCTTTCCACGTGAGAAGCTTTGGTCAAGGCTCAAGTTACTGACTTGAAGTCAGTGATGCTAGCAGGGAGCTTACCACTTAATGTGAAAAAAAATCAACCTACCTTTATCAAAGTCTCAACTGAGCTGCAGTATCAACTCAGTCATGGGGAGAGTGAATGAGAAGTAAAGGAAGAACATGCGGGTAATGTCAGAGGACTTTTTGGCCTTAGGGAGAACAACGCAGGGTGGGATGGTTGTCAGTTTAGTAATAGGGTCGGATCTCAATAACGTAGGTTGTTTGACAGAGGAGGAAATTTGGCACCAGGCAGGTGTAGCAGTTGTTTGCATTCCGTGGCAACGTGGCTGTCTCCCTGAGCAGAAAACTAGTCTGTCCGTTACAGCCTTAGTCTTGCAAAACTGCTGCACTAGGAACTGAAGCCATGCTTGAATCACCTGGTCTTGCACTTTATTAAAAATATGAGTCTCACTCCTAAGAGATTTGGGATCCATAGCATCCTCTTGCAGCTGAAGCCCTCTGGGATTGCAGATGGTTTGGCTATTTCAGTGGGAGGGCAGGGGTGCCAGAGGAAGCCCTTCACGCCACCCCAAGCCCTGGACAAGGCTTCAGAACAGAGGAGAGGCACAAAGTCTAGGGAGTGAGAAGCTGGAGAAATCAATTGTGGTATGACTGGAGACCTCGTTAATGGAGTTGTGCCTCTGAAACATAAGGAAAAACGTTAATTTAAAAGGGTGGAACTCCTCGATGTTTTTATAGGGCTGATATAGAGAATGTTTCCACTTTTTACAGTAATGACATTTTAGGTAGCATGTACCAAGCAGACATCTAGACAAGAAAAAAGGCTTTTCTTTTTCCAAGTGTCAGGGTTATATTCCTTGCGGTTACATTTCAGTTTAAAATTGATGGCCCTGTTGAGGTAATGTTTTATTTGGCAAGCCTGACCATTCCAGATTTATCCTTTTATTTATAATATTTGGTAGGCCTTGTATTTGGTTGCTAGTGAAACAGCAAGGGAATTACCCAAAGTTATTATTTTATTACAGTCGTAAAAGCCACCTCAGAATTTGATGCCAGTAAGAAATGAACTTCTGTTTTAGAGGTAAAGAGGTAGACTGTAAAATGCTGCTCTACATCTGTTGTTAAGACTGAAAACTCAATGGAATTTCTGCTACTGTGAGAAACATGTAAGAGGAACAAGACCAGGCACTACAATAACTACGGCTGAAAATGAAACAGGTTAAATTAGGAGAAAAGGTACTATAGGGAAAGAAGTCCTTTCTTCTCTGTAATATTTCTAGGCTGGGTTCCAGCTCTATGTGTTAAAAACCCCAAATTTGTTCCCTAGAAAACGCTTAACCCCACCCCTCTCCCCCCAAATATCCAAAAATAAGCCAAAGCCATTGAAGTAGTTTTCAAGACTTCATGTGGTGAGTTACACATCTACACATTTAACTACACTGAGTTATTAAGCTGTTTGAATACAGTTCTCTATTTTCTATGTTTAACATGTTATCATTTCATATACATCTGTACTAAAACATTTGAAAGTAGTTAGTGTCTTAATTTTTAAGAAATACTTCACGGATAATTTCTTAAACCACTACACTTAACAACAGGAAAGTTATTAATGATTCTGATTCTATTTTCCAGTACTTTAGGATTTCTTCACACACACACACGCCCCATTTTTGAAGGAAAAAAGCATAGTCTAAAGAAAATTTTAAAAATAATTTAAAGCAGCCATCATTAACATCACCGGTATGGCAATGAGAGCAGCTAAACATTGCTGAAGATGTCAGGCTGGAACATACGTGCCTTTACATGTGTGCACTGCCCAGGGAGGGAGGAGATGTGGTTGATAGCTGTGCACCAAAACGGAGAACAACGCTTCTGAAAAGGCGTAACAGTCTGCAACCCAACTTTTTGTATACAGCCTTTGCAATTAGAGAAACTCCTTTTAAACAGACGTAACAGATAAACCAACAACTGCTCACAATGCATTGAGAAGTGGTGCCCAGCAGCAGTGTGTCAGTTTTGCCTGCGAACCACAGACACGCAAAGAGATGATACTTGCTGGTGTATAATGTTTCCCACGGAATTCATCCAGTGTCAGAAGAACTGGATGGCAGGGGCAGGCAGTATCCTCCTAATGACTCAAGTAAGCTGTGGGTCAAACTTCACCTATTTAGGTAACAAAGTCATCTCGTACACCTCCATGGCAGGGTAACCGTGCTGTACAGTTCCGGCAGCTTTTGTGTTACTGTGAGCATCATGTTTGAATAGGTATGCTTGTCCTGTATAGCCTTCACAAAGGCATCCTTACAGTGCATCCCGCAGCCAGCTAAACAGTGTCTGATCTCTGAACTGGAGAAATGAAAACCAAGATGTAAGGAACAGTGCACTTGCCCCACATCAGCTCATTGAGGCTGGCTCTGAACCCCAGAGCAGTCTGCCTTTGGGAGTACAATTATGTTCTCTCCTTGCAAGCTGGCAACACGTTCTGAAAAAGAAAGGGTGTTCAACAGTTTTGGTTCTCCCTCTGAAAGTCTTGGCTCTACCAATATGCACACTGTATATACACATCATCTCCCCTTTATGTGCCTTTCCTTCAGCACTGGAGCATACATTCTTTTTTTTCAGGGCTGGACATTGGTCCGTACATAACTTATTGACTTCCAGCAGAGCTGGGTTTTGTTACTTGAAATCCAGGCTCATCTGCAAAACTGGTCTTTGGATGTCAGGCTCTCTTTGACATCACGCTCCTCTGATTTTAATTTAATAATGCAAAAATCAATGTAATCATACACAGAAACACAGTCAGTAACTGTCAGATGACCTCAAGTAAATCTAACCATGGTGGCTGAACTGGGATAACATAAACCAGACTTCAAGACTTTCAAATACTACAGCTGTGTTTTAAAAGAAGAAAAAAAACCCCTCACCTAAACTAAATATTCTAAGTATGTCTTCTTTTAAATTCAGAATCGGTTGGAAAACTTCCATAACACTGCAACCCTCTTTCTGCAGCCTAATAAATACATGAATCATCAAATAGGTTTTGAAAAATCAAGGAGACTTGCAGCCTTTCATCAACCCTTTATTGGGATCCCTGGTACTTAAGGAAACATAAAAATAAAGTTTAATCAACACCAATAGTAAATCTGACTAAAACAGCAAAAGGAGCTCTAACCATTACTTGTTCAAATGGTGTGGACCAAGGTCAACCTTGATCTTGTAGGGAACACTAATGGGCAGGAGGTTCTTTGTAGGATGTACTAAAACACTTGAATACCTGTCTATCTACCTGTCTATCTCAGACTCAGAACCGATCCTGACAAGTTCTATTGAAATATTAACTCTGGCCAACTTTAAACAAGATAGAGAATTTAATAATTGTTCCCTAATAATAATATTAGGGAAGAGTCAATGAGGGGCAAGACTAACTTTTATTTTAATTGGAAAAAACCCATTCTAATGACACAACTGATAAACTGACAGGTCTCCCTAGGGCAGTCTGAATCTCTTGTCAGCTGAACTTAGACAATGAAAGTATATCCTAACAGTTAATGCATATTTATACAGTAAAGGTCTTTTCGGTCTCTCTTAAACATAGCAGAGTTATCACCAGCTGGATGTTAGAGTTGGCAGTAATTTTAAACAGTATACTTTATCAAAGAACCAACATATTTTTGTTGTTATCTAGGGTTTGCTATATTAGGTCTTAACTCAAAACGCTCGTGCAGCTGTCTGGATACAAACAGAACTAAATGTGTCATCATTCAGATACCAAGGAAAGCTGTGAAACACCCTCAGATATCATCAGGGTTGGACAGTCCTAAGGATCTTCTCGTATCTGTTATTAGGATCACATCAAAACAGAAATGGAAAGCAGCAGTATTTTTGTAACGATGCAAGTTTTAAATCGAGGCCATAGTAGAATGTCAAATATCAAAGCGCTTGACATTAGGAATGCTTTTAATGGCAGAAAATGTTTCACGGCACTGGACCAGGTTTCCAAGTCAAGCAGCAGGTTCTGCTCCCATTTATTTCAGTAGGATTAACCTGACTGAATCCCAGTTAACTTTGAAAATCACTTTTCCTTCTGGCACAGTAAGTAGAAAGAGGAAACCACACCTTAAACATTATCTTAATTGCTCTAGTACATTTATACATTACTCCCTTTAAAGCTTAACAAATATTTATCAAGGCTGCTGGAACTGACAAAAATCTTCATAAGAGTCATGGTATTTAAAAACAGTCATTCTCTTCTCCATCCTCTTCTCCAGTCTTCTTTTTGGAAAACAACAGGGAAAAAAAAAAAAAAAAAAAAAAAATGTGCCATGAGTTCAGTTTCTGACAGAGTCTAGAAGTTTTCTTGAGACAGCTTTTCTGATTTGAAGTGGGGGGTGTGGGTGTGTAATTCTGCACAAACTAGTTGATTTTCAACATAAATGAAACCAAAATGAAGAATGGAGATTGGGTCAGAAGCAATTTATATATAATGCTAGAAGTTGCTAGTGTATCACGATACCTGTTTCTCTGCCTCTTCAAAATTGTTTGCTAAAAGCCAACGGCATCAGTGACATCCTTTTCCATAGCTGATGATGGACTAATACTTGCAAAATGAAGATGTAACAATAAATCTTAATAAGCATCATAGCTTGAAGAAGGGACCTTTTGTTCACCTTCCTCCCCTTCACCTCACAATTAACACTGAGCTGATGCATTTTTGCTGGTATCACAGAGCTGCTTTTACTGACCTCGGCCGCATTACATATTCCAGCAGGGCTCACATGTGCCTTCACACCACAGCGGTAAGGGGCAGAACAACCTTCCTTCTCCCTTGCAGTCTTGAGGGAATGTGGTCTTTCTGGTCAAGGCTGAAATTTATTCCCCACTTCTATTATTTTAGCACTTTTAAAAAAATATTTAAACAAAGGAGACAATACTGATTATTGCCCACGTTATGTTTGCTTATTCTCTGAAGCAGAGGTAAATCCAAGTGAAGGAGAACTCATCATAATTTTTGGGGTTTTTTTTCTATTATGGGGGACATGGAACCTTTTCAGATAGGAAACCCTGAATGTTCTGGTTTTGGTGGCTAGTAAGGCACCAAGAAATCACAATTATTTTTAAACATTACTATCTATTTTTGTCAATTATTTTTTTCTTCAGAATAAGCACACATCCAAGTAATAGGGGTTTTTTACATGCATTGTAAAAAATTATACCAACAGCTGGGGGTGAGGGAGAGAGCAATATATTAAGTAATAACAATGCTCCTTTACTTAGCTAGCTGGAGGTCACTGACTCAGCTCAGCAAGACGTGAGCTACCATCGTCATTTGTTTACTCACCTAGTAGGTGCTTGAGGAGTTAGAGGTTCAGTTTACCACCTCTTGGCATCAAAACGATGATTTACAAGTTCCTCCCTGCCTCCTGCAGGCTGAGCTCCTCCTTTTGCAAAAAAGCAGTCTTAAAATAATGCTTGCTGGGACTAGTTGTGGCTTTCCAGAGCAGACTCAGTTGAAAACAGGGAAATGGGTACTCTGCTCATCTTCTTGGTGGTGTCAGACACAATAATATTGTCTAAGTCTTACCTATTTCCGTGACTCAAAATCAGGCTAAGAAAAAGTTTCATGACAGATAACTTGTTCTATTCAGAAGGGGACTGGATTAGGGATTTTTTAAATTTTGTTCCATAGTATAGGTAAGTATGGCTACCTTACGGTTATCCTTTATTTAACATCTGTTTTCAGGCATTTTTCCTTCTCTCAGCAGTGAATGTTATAGCTGCTCTTCTTTAAATACCCTGCCCGCAACAGCAAAGCAATCCTCTCGTACAGAGTATTAACTGACACCACATCTTCTAACATGCAGAAAAAAGAAACACTTCACCTTGTTTTAATAAATTAATCCACAAAATAGGTCCAACAAGCTGAAATGAAGTACATTAGAGGTGATGACACAGCTGGCAAAGCAGAGATATTAAAAAACAAACTCACCCATAAAAAGTGAGACGCAGGAACCCAATCCTGTGGCCAAGTTTAACCAACTCTCCCTGCCTAGCAGCAGCTCCTGTTAGTAGCACAATTCCTACTTTCTTTAGGGTGCACAGCCACTTGTATGCGCTTTCATCATCGTACATGATTTCTTCAAAAGGTATTTTGGGAAGTTGCAGGTCTGAGCCCCAGTACTGGCGTTCTGAAAGGGCAGAAACAAAGAAGCAAGTGCTTAGCTGTTTTAGCATCAAAACTCAGGGCATAATCAGAGTACGAAGTGAGTGGGATTTCTGTGCATTTGTGAATACGCCCTCAATCCTGCTGTCATCCACCTGAAACTGGGCCCACAAGTTCGCATGGATAACAAACAATCTTTATGATGAAATTCAGAAAAACGTTGTAGTAAATAAATTTAAATAACTTAAAAGTTGAATGAAAGACCATTTGAAAGGGATATTTTTTTGGTAACAGCACATTAGAAATGTGCATATTCTTTTTTGCCTGTACTGGTGAACCACAAGGGTGAAAATTTGAAATTAAGACTCCTTCAAGAGTTTCTTGTCTAGAGTAAAATAGCATGGAGTACCCAAGATCTCCCTCAGAGGCGGTATAGATATATAATAATGAAAAGATTATATTCTTGATGAAGGAACAGAAGACGACACACATCAGTATAACAGCTTAGAAACAGAGTAACTGTATCAATTGCATAAATGACCAAGCAATTTTCTTTTTAGATTTGTCTTCATGACATCATATCCAATTACATTAAATTCTGCAGGACAGTGTCATTCCTTGTCTTTCCCTCTGCAGATTATTTGTGAGGGTTTATCTCATTTCAGGAAGATGCAACGAGTGTCCAAGACGTTAACAAATCCAAGCACTGCTAGAAGGTAAAGAAAATGATGGAAAGATTTGAGTGATGAGCAAGTTATATCATGCCCATTCTCAAACAAAATTGATTATAAGAGCGTATGACATATAATCTATACCATAACCAGACATTTGATTCTTGAATAGACCTTGATATAAAAGGTGGAAACCTGCAGCCATCTGTTAGAGGCAGGTATAGACTTTGCAGGCAGAACAGAAAGGGCTTTTGAGCCTGTATTTCCTTCAGAACTTTTGCTGCTCCCTTCTTTATTTTTGTCCTCTCAAACCAGCAGCAGCTGCATGGCACACCACCCAAAACTATAAAAGTAGTGAAAAGCTATGCAGCTTTAAAATTAAGTGCTGCTTAGTCTCATCCTTTCATGTACTTACAGCTGCCCAAATACTGCTAAATATGTATCTTTCTCTAATGGTACAACCATTCCTGTATCTATATATAAGGATTTTTAACATGTGTCCAATTGTTATTACTATTTTCTAGTATCACAGTTCTGTAACTGTTATTTGCTTTCATTTAATAATGATTTAAAATTTTATAACCTATTCTAAAGGGATCACATTCTGGTTGAGTTGAAGAGTTCCCAAATAGGTAAGTCACCTAATACAGAGAAAGGAAATAAAGGTATGACTAGGTCATAGCTAGGAAAAAAAAACAACAAACAAAAAAACAACACCAAAAAAACAATTACTTTCTCTTAACTGTATTATTTTCTGAGGAAGAATGAACTCTGGTGTCAGAAAACATGGCATTATATGCATTTGTAAAGGTACTCTACAGAAAAGTATATCCATTCAGTGACAAAATAAAGTAATAATTAGATATGATCATGAAATTTAGACTTGTGAAGGGCTGCGTGATCCAAATCTCATCTTCCATCATGACTAAGTTGTAAGAATTATGCCTACAGTACTGTCCATTCACTTAAATTTAGGATCTGGATGCCAGTGCTGGAGGCTGCACCTGGAAAAGGGAGGGCTTGTTACACGTCTAGCCAGGCAGATGGACACTGAGCCCCAGGCACGCTGGGGGAGACACAGTGACTGCTCACACCGTGAGTCCCACTCTGCCTGCTTTAAGTGCCAGGATACGTCCCCTCACCTGATTAGGTTTCCCCGGGGGAGAATACACAGCTCCTCTAGTGCTGATCTTAGCATCTGGCCACTGAAGACAAGGTGGTGATTTAGCCACAACTTCAACTACGGTAGTCAAAGTCTTAGGGCAAAGCCCGTGGTTGTTCCCTTTGTCTGCAGGAGCAGAGGCTGCCCCTAACTCCTGGTGTGTCACTGCAGGTCACTTGGGTGTGCACTGGCAGCCAAACCCAGCATCCTCTGAACTGCTGCACTAGATGTGAAGAGGATGGCTCCCAACAGGTACGGACAGGGAAACCTGGGGACTCAGCTGAGGCTAGCTAGCTGTCTCCCCAACAGGTATTTTTGCTCTGCTTTGCTAAAAGCCCTGTGTCTGGGCATTAAGGCATGAGTACACCTGGATTCCGGGTGCCCCTGATCAGATTCTGGACTGTGCAATTGTTTATTATCTCTTGCTTTTATTTTTCTTCTTGGTTTATTTGGTGTCCTCTTTCCTGTGCATTTCCTTCTTTCTCCCTGAGGCAACCTTAGATTTTTAAGACCTTGACTTGAGTAGAGATGTCAAGACTGGGATTTTCCTCTCTCTCACCTAAGGTCTTGAGTACAAAGGTAAGAAGGAATTCCTACCAGCAGATCTAATGAAGAGTGGGCTGTCTCAGCCTGTGTTGGAGGCACTCTCAGTTCCAGAGAGAGAGGAATTGCCCAAGTGCTTACAGAGCTAGGCAGTCCCTTCACATGCACTTAAAAATAGTTTTTCCTTTCCTGCCTCTTTTCTGTCCCAAAACAGAAGTCCCTCTCCTTCCACTTCATTCTTCCCAATTTCAGGCAACATTCCCCTTTACAGAATCACAGAGTCATTTAGGTTGGAAAAGACCTTGAAGATCATCTAGACCTTTCTCCAGGTGAGATACAGACACACAGACAGGAAGGATTTAATGCCTGTCTCTTACTGTTCTTCATTTTCAGGACTTTGGATGGCTCACGGCAAATGGTGAGGGAAGGTGTCACGCTCACCCAAGGGTGAGCCAAGTCTCAAGACTCCCCGTCGAAGTTCAGAGGTGCAGCCAGGAGACAGCAGGCCTCACCAGCTCCTGTAACACTTGCAGAGGCATTTGGGCTCTGGCCTTCAGGAGAGCAGCCCTCCAGGTCCCTAGAGCAGCTGGAGCCCGCCTTTTAGAAAGGATTCAGAAAAGAAAAACAGCTGCTCTCCATTTCTTGTGGTCCAGAACAGCAGAAGGCAGCTAATGAGGGAAAACTTACCCAGTTAATCCTGTCTGAGGGCATACATAACAGAAGCAAGTTTTGGGAACTTGCTTAGAGAAAGCCTCTCCAGCTAGTAGTGTCTGAGGTACATATCTAGACTAAGTCATGGCAGCCTCCCCAAGAGGATTTTTTTCTTGGATGTTTTCCTTCAAGTAAACACCTAGTCCTTCAAGAGGACTCCAACAGGGATATCACAAACATAGGCACACTAAGATAACGTAATCAGTGACTGCATGTAAGCGTTTTACAGCATGGTATCACTTCTAATCGCAAAACCAGCAATTGGCATTTTCTGAAATGCTTCAGAAAAAACATACCTAGAAAAATTAAGCACAAAGGAGAAGACAACAGAACATGTAAGACATAGGAAACAAGTACAAGAAGTAAAGTATGAAAGACAAAATAAACCCCACATGTACAGCAAGTAGAGAAGATAATTGGTGAAACCAAAATGACCCTACAGCACAACAGGAAACATGCTGGAAGGAAAAAAAAAAAAAAAAAAAAAAGAAAAAAAAAGCAAGCCCTGGTTGTAAAAATAAAACAACTCAGTCAAGAGTAGGCATGCTGTTTTTTTAGCCTTTCAAAGGAAGAAGAAGAAAAAATGCCAATAAACAATGAGGAAAAGAAAAGAAGGAAAAAAAAAGAGATCTCCTACTTCAGGTCTTGCTTCACCAAAAATATTCATCCACCCTCACCTTAAAAGCTCTTCAAACTCCAAGACACAACTACTAACCCCAGCTCGCTGGTCTTTTATACTTGCAGCTAATTTAGGACAAGCTTGTTAAGGACTAATTGTTTACCTGTGTGTTGATGGTCATCAAGGACTAGTCCTCAGTGCTGTGTAGTGTTAATGTCAATCCAGCAGAGTGTTGGTTTGAGGTCTCAAACTGTGCTGATGTGTCTTAAACATATCACCAAATCTGTAAATGTATTATGTCAAAATAAAGGGGTGTGTGGACAGCCATGGAGACCCAGTCATACCAGACAGAAAAGGCAGAGCTTGAGAACTTTTGTCTTTCTGCTCCAAATGCGGAACACTCTTATATTCATCAAATAAAGCCAAATAGGTGAGATGTGGGTGGGACAGGAGAGCAGAGCTCCTGTGGAGACAGGCTGAGAGATGCTGGTGGAGGTGGGACGTAGGATGTGGGCAGAACTGGGATTGCTGGGGGGAAAGGTGAGGGCCGGCTAGCAGCAGGGCTGAGGGAGCCAACCAAGGACAAGCAATGGTGGTGCTGAGAACACAAATCCACAGAGTCCAGGGCGGGAGACACACAGCAACAGGGCCTGAACACACAGTACCAAAGCTCCTGAGAATGCCACAGATAAAACTCATTAACAGGTTCCTTAATAGAATAGAAAAAAAAAAGAAGAAAGAGACATTACAGATAAACATGATCAGGGTCACTACCTGGAGAACTCGCTGGGGTTACCTGAGGTCCATCAATTAGCCCACAAGGTTACTTGAGGTCAAACTCATGCCTTGGGACCACGCTGGACTTACTTGAGGTCAACCAATTAGCCCACGGGGTTACCTGAGGTCAAATTCGGTGTTTGGGACCCTGCTGGGGTTAGCTGAGGTGAAACTCCGGCCTTGTGACCCCGCTGGGTTCACCTGAGTTTAACCAATTGTCTAATTATCTGACCTTTCTGGCCCGTGTCACAGTGGGGTTACTGTACCCACTTGCTGGTGCCCAGGTTATTTTACCAGCATCCGTTTTCCCAACACACACACTCGGTATCTGTATCAGTTCAGATGGTTTCACAGGAAAAATTCAGTGCTACCTTCCCTGTCTGCTTTATGTTGTTTCCTTACGCCTTCTCCCTAGGAATGCTGATATTATTTATGCTGAATTTCTTATAATTTAGTATTTCCATTCCTTTTATTGCCAGTAAATATTTGTCCATGTCCATGACACATTTTTCATCCCCGAGCACAGCTGGAGGAGCTCTCTACCACTGGAGCCACCAGTGTTTCACTTGCTTGTAACTTTGGTAACCCTTCATCATTTGGGTTGAGGTTTTCCATGGTAGCATCTGCCGAAAATAATTTTGAGACATCTTCAACAACAACGCAACGGATCAAAAACCCAGACCAGTGAAAAATGAGTAGTGTTTAGTGGAGATGTTTTAGTGCTTTCATCAAGTGTCCAGTTTGGCAAATAAAGTGTTCACGTGCTTGGAATGTATATTTGCCCTTCCTGGGAAAGTCGTCAAGTTTGGCCAGTGCTTATGGCTTTGGAAAATATCACCTTGCAGATGCTCCACAGACTCTTTTTTTTTTTTTTTCCAGTTTGGCAGCAAAATTGGCCAAATATTCCTTTTACACTGAGTATGCTCCAGCGCTTGGGTGAGGGATATAGCAGGAACATTGCAAAACAAAGACGATGAACGTAATTTTCATGTAAAATTAGCAGACTCACAGGAAACAAGGCCAAATATAGCCCCACCTGTGTGCTTCAAGAACTGTGTCATTCTCATCTCTAACATCCACTCCCTAGGACTTCTCTTGCCTGTGGACTTCAGAATACTCTGAAGTTTGAGAAGATATAATAAGAATATGATTGTTCTTCCTCAAGTGAAGGGATGTGCCACTGACTTCCCCAGACTGATGCAGAACTGAGCGTCAGCTCAATGTTCATACTTCCCATCAGTCCACACGTAATTTTGCACAAACTCAGATCATGTCCGTATCATACCTGCAGCATATAAGAGATTTAGAAAAATAATACTGATAAAGTCATTTGTCCATGTGGAGAAGCCAGGTCAAATTGGGATGCTGCAGGAAGAACCTCTTTCTTTGTTAACCACCTGTTTACAACTACTCCAGACAGTATATTTTAAGGTTTTCAGAGCCATTTGCAAAACCTAATTAATTTCCTTCAATAAAAGGCAATGCTGTAGCCATTTATTAGCGCAGGCAAAACCACATAATAATAATAAACCCCATGATTCTTTATTTTAGCCTCAATATTCATAGGCCAAGATCACTTTGCTAAAATATTTAAGATCACATCCCCCCTCTTTTTTCCCCCAGACTAATCCTGTCAGAATCAATTTTGCTAGACAGCACTGAAACAAATAGCACCTAAAGTTAAATGGCTCCAGTGCATCCAGCCAAGAACTCAAGGGATCAGTAATGTAGACAGAAAGCCAAAAGGCAGGAAATTAATAATGGAGGCCAAAGCACAGCTTCTCACCAGGACACCTTCTGGAGTCTGTCAGTTGTTAATGCCGTTAACTTTAATTTCATTTGTCTGTGCAACTAGCAGAGGACACTGGAATCCACAGTTGTGGGTCACGTTTGGTACTTTATGATTAATAGTGATTTTTTTTTTTTTTTCTGCAGCTGAAAGAATTCCAAAGAAGAATGTCCTAAAATAGTGCACGGTGTCCTTGGACCCAACCTGGTCTTTTGATTATTTGTGTATTTATGGGGAGCTATAAGGAGTACAGGGAGTTTAAAATAGCACAGCATTTAAAGTCAAATGAAATGGTTGCCCATGCCTGTGAAAGCAAGCTGCTACAGAGACTTGGTAGTGATTTTATTGTGACAAATCACATTTGTAAGCATTGTTAGTACTTTAAAACTGAAATAACTACAGGTTTACGAGTATAAAAGAATCTTAGGTCAAGATAAAACTTTTATTAAGCTGCCTTGCTAGAAAGCATCACTGGTAATTGTTCTCTCCCTTGCATTTGCACTACTGCTTACCCAAGTATATTTATGATAGCAAATACACCACCAGATACCAGTAGCTATAACACTGAAACAGTTGTTAATAGCAAGAGGTACTAAGATTTCCTCTGAAATATTTTTTTCTATTGTAAAACTTTGGTTTTAATGCTTATAAACTTCAGCAAAATACGATCTTTTGGGCTGACATTTTTTTAAATGCTGAAGGTTCCCTTTTATTGAATTTATGAGAACAGTCAGTGAAAAGCATCAGCTGTATCTTAGAAGAAAACTGATCATGGAGTACACTCTGCTCATTTGAAAAAATTCCAGCAAAGGCTCTAATTCCTCTAATTTTGGTGACTAAGCAATGTCAGAAATACATTTTGGTGAATTCCTCCCTCAGCTTGTGGAGGTACAAGTCCACGCGAAGACTTGGTAACAGACCTTGCTAGAGCTTCACAGCTGGGAGCGTCCCAGCGCTGTGCTGCCCAGGCAGCCGCCCGCCGCCCGCGGATGCAGCGAGCTGGGAGAGACCAGAAGGGAAGATGAGCTGAGCTGTTCCCGTGCTCTCTGTTAAGAGTCTATCCTGGGCTCCAGAGGAAGAAAGACATGAAGCGAAGGGTGGAAGCAGCTACCAGGGGGGAAACTGAAGTAGGGACTCGGTGGGTAGAAAGAGGTGGGTCTGGAGACTGAATCAAAACTGCTGCTGGCTGCAGAGGAATCTGGGGCCAAGTAAAGGGAGCTGTTTAGTGATAGCAGCCTGCCACTGGCAGCTGAAAGCAAAGTGAGAGAGCTCCAGAAAACACTGAGGCTCTTCTAACTGTCAAGACACCAGATGCGTTTTTTCCCATAAACGGCCAGAAACTGCCAGCAGGTGCCTTGCACTCAGACACGATCAGTGACCCTTCTCATGTAATTTCTGGGGTGAAAACACTCTGCTCAGGGAGTGGTGTAATTTATTTCCTGAGGGGTGGGATGGTCCAGGCCCAGAGAGCCACCAGCTGCCCAGCTCCCGGGGCTGCTGCTCCATGGACCTCTGCCCTGCTCCCACCTCCCACACCGCCTGCTACCACCCAAAATGTTCACACAGGGTGTTCAACTCTAATTCACAGGAAAAAAATCATTTTATCTCTGAGCAGAGAACATGCAAGCCTTTATAACCCTCCACCGTGACAGCACTCTGTCCCCTCCACTGATTTCAGCCGGGCTGGCTGCGGTCCCACGACGAGGCGGCGTGCGACCACCCGTCCCAGAGCTGCCAACTGCCGTGGCTCGGCTGGTACCAGAAGCAAGAAAACCCTGGTGATTGTGATTCCCCAAGCTCCTTGGCAGAAGCTTTGGGTCTTACGTATTTCAGACAATGTTAACTTGCAGAATGAAGCAATGAGGTATCATCTGCTGACTTGACCTGAAAAACAGCGCTGGTGGCAGATACAAAAGACCATTTGGAGAGATACACCCTGCCCCTCAAAATTATCGTAACGCACAGGGAAAGATGTGGGGTAAGTCCTTTGTCTCCTGTACGAAAGACCTATTTCAGATTAATACCCCCAAATACAACACTGCTAGCCTCCTTGCTCTCTTCCCACAAATTTCCACTTGTAATATCTCACAAGTTTGC